CTTATTAATATCCTCTCAACAAAGAGTTTCCCTAAGGCTCTCTTTGTGACCCAGGATTCATTTCTGAAGTTAGTTGCACAATGTACTTTAGAGAATACACACTGTAGTGACCACATGCATGGTACGTACATCGACATAGAAATCACCTTTTACTACATGCATGTTAGTTACACGCACTTGTTAACTGTACATGTATGAATGCACTACATTGTAGAGACAAACAGAAACAGAAGGGTCAGTCCCTGGCAAGCTACAAGTACACGTACATATTACTAAGATTATTGACCAGTTACTTTACTGTTGTTCTGTGTCCAGGTATCCTTGCCTGTTCAGTTTGTATTTAATAATTACAGTGCAGAACCAAAATATGAGTAAGTAGTGTAGTTGCTTTATGTTTACCACTTAACTGTATCCAGATGTGTACTTACAGCAGCATGCCGTCGACCCTCATTTCGATCACCTCCCAGCCACTCCAAAGCTCTCTTAACCTCAAACTCCACGTAGTCAGCAGTGAATGTGCCTCCTGTCAAAGCCAATCTACCCATTGCTTTAGATGCCATCTGCATCACAACTTGATCATTGGATGGTAACAGATTTCTCAAGTAATTGGCAAATCTGCTCATTTTTGTGGTGTTCCCACCATCAATGCCAATAAGAGCAACTGCAAAACAAAGAAAGAAAAGCATGCAGTATTAACAGCCACCTCTCTACAACAGGCACTTTTTTGTCCCGGCTGACAGTCCATACATTCACTCTTATTTTAACCTCTCCACAACAGCAATGGTCACTAAAGCATGTCCCAACTATCAACATAACCTCTCAACAACAACAAGTTAATCAACAACTGATGAATGGTGCAAATGAAACCTCATGTTTCATTGTAATAGGACACATACTACGTTGTTGGTCCCCGTTTCTGTTTGGTTTCAGTTTTCTAGAAATATTTTGATTCTGTTACCTATTTCTACATGCTACAATCAGCATGTTTTGAAAATAAAAATGTTGCATCCCCCCAAACAAATCAGGTTTCATCCATGTATTACACCCCTTCCTCGCCATAAGGGCCACCTCTCTAAAATTGCCACTCTCCTCTGCTGGGGCAGATCTAGAGGGGTTCGGGACATTACAACATGCTGTCTTGGCCTCAGAATGCCGCAAATCCCATTTCCAAGGACCTCAATTTTAAAAATGTTCCGGGGGGGAGGATACTCCTGACCCAACCTACAAGAGGACTGCCTTTGGTGGCCTGTACAGCTGTATTTCAAACCCTCTTCTCTAAAATTCTATATGGGCCCCAGCTCTGTACTGCATGCAAAGTTAATCATCCGATGCATGTACCTTAAGGTGCCATAACCAACAATTATATAATTTTTCGAAGAATGTAAATAATCGGTGATCAGACGTGTGCTCCGGGACGTGGATTATGAAGGTGAATTAATGAACGAGAGGATTTGAACGTCTATTAAATATAGTGCTCTTATACTAGTGCACATGAAATTGGAAAGTAAGCTTTTTTGTTCACCTTAAAAGAAGCAACAAAAGGCAAGAAAATGTCAGAGATTACATGTGTATTGATTAATTAATTAGCTTCTTTTCACGGGTCAACGTTTCTTAAGTAATTGGTTAGATAAATTATAGTACTCACCAATCGCCATAATTCCTCCTTTCTTTTCATTTGCATCAGAACTGGAAACCATTTCGAATATATGGTGGTTTAGTTCGTCCATGAAACTCGTGTATTGTTCGGCAGAAGCTTCGCGAAGCTCAGTCGACACATAATGTTGAAGATCTTTCGCAGCTTGCAGTCTTGACTCATCGCTGCGACTTTTCAAGCCGTTTAAACGTTGTTGCATCATTTTGGATAGATTATGGAGCAGCAGGCCGGTTCATGTGCATGTAGACACTTGCTGTTGTTTCCTTTAAGTGTCCGCCATGATGGATCAGTGTCCAGTCTGTTCTCTTTTCAACATCGTACGTCACTGATCACATGACACATTTTATTTATTTTCTCGATTTTGATAAGTCGCAAAACTTAATTGTCAATACAGCTGTAAGTGCCATTCAAGCGCTGCCCGATCGAATTGTATTCGTAAAATTACCGGGAGTGAAAATGTACTGACCCTGTTTACTTTATCTAGCGTAAGCTATCGTTACGCTTGCATTACACTTGTTTATTTCGCACTCTGATATGCGACACGAGGTAGCCCAAGGCAAAGGAATTGATTATTCTGTTTTCTTGTGTAACCATGGAAACAACAAGTGTTTTAATTATTATTATTATTTTTTCCTTCTTTTTTTTAATGAGGGGGAAATGAAATACTGCTAAACACCTAGGAAGAGCATTTAACCACGGTCATATATTTTTTTTTCTTTTTTTTTTTTTTTCTGGCTACCGCCCTACGAGAGGTAACTACAGGTAGCACAGCCTTTGGAGTAACCAACGTTAAGAGATATATATATTATTTTTCGAAAATGCCTCGTTGTCAAAGGTTCATTATAATAGAAATTTCAATACAGTTTTCTCTGTACACGTTTGACATATCACAAATTTAAAGACAATTACTCTCTTGTGAGTAGTTTGGCATTTTATATTCCTTTGGTTCAAAACACTGATTGAGCTGATTGAGGGAAATGACAAAATAGGATTGGATTAGGAAGGAACAAAAGTTTGGAACTTTCAGTGAATGTAATAAACAATCTATTTTTATTGCATACAAGCCTTTAAATGGATCCAAGTATCGTAAAGTTCGTGAAAAAGTAAAAGTTAGTGTTCTATAACGTTGTTGTCAGAGGCTTTTTTTATTGGAGTTTTATTTTTTTAGTTTTTATCAGTTTTACTTGTAATAAAGCTGTACTTAGTACGTGATGATAACTGAATTTCCATGCATGTAAATTGTCCTTTCTTTTTCGAAGTGTCAGTTTCCCGGAGTCAAATGTTAAACCGCAGCATTCTCTTTGCTAAAACTAAAGTTC